TTAATCGCCAGGTTGTGTAAAATAGAAGTTACTGGGAAGCAGCATGATAAAGCAGCCAGAGTTATCTTCAAAACCTGGATCTGTCATTCATTACCTCTGTGATTTTAGGCAAGTTATTTAACCTCTCTACTCCTGTCTCTCTACAGTAATATCTACTACGTATAGTTCTGGGAATAATTAAATCGTATTACATGTGTAAGACATCTGGCCCAGAGGTTAGCATATAGTTGGCACCCAGTTCATGTTAATTTCTTTTCCTTTATTAGCACCATAGATTATATAATGTCCCTGATTTAAACACAGCCTGCTTAAATATGTCCCCTAATTATGAATGCTCATCCTTGGACAGCAGACCCAGTCCAGAGACAGCAGAAACCTCCACCCGTCTCCATATAGCCACCCTACTTTCTCCCTGACCTTTGCAGATTCCTCTCCCTCCAACTGTAATAATTCATCCTGCTTCTCACCCTATACCTTTGTGGCTTTGAGGAAGGGTCTCGGATGGCAGCCCTAATGGTAGCAAGATGCATCCCTGAAATCCCATGTCAGAATTTAGAAACTTTTACGAAGCTCTTTAACTGAGAGATCAGAGAGATGTCAATATCACTTGGATGCCTCAAATAACCTCCTTATTTAAACCTCCTTGACATCAATCTTTATCCCTTGACTCTAAACTGCACAAAGCAACCAGAGTGGTCTTTCTAAACAATAAATGTGAAAATTTCACACCCCATTCCCTATTCCCCTCTTCCTTCAGTATGCTACAGTCATTCTCCATTTCTTCATTTCATGGCTCACTGTTCCCCTGGGCCTGACCCCTAGTCTTTGGGCTCTGAACTGTGGCCTCTGGACTTTTCATACCTGACGACTCCCACCAATGCTGCCTGGAAAACTCCCCCAGTTCTTCTGGCTGACTCCATTTATTTGTCACTTCCTATTAGAAACCTACTCCAGCCTCCTGGGCACCGTTTGGATGTCCCTCCCAGTTTCCCCTAAAGTATCTGTATCTATCCCTGTCTTTCTTCTATCACGCTATGGAGAGATTTCCCATTTACTTCTCCTTCCTATTAGACTAGTTGCTCCTTAAGGGCAAGAATTCTCTCTTTCATTGCGATATCTCCAGAGTCTAGCCCTGTGCCTAGCACATAGTAGGACCTTGGTAACTTCTCAGCAAATGAATGAATAAAGCCAAGTTCATGTACAACCCCTAAAACATCTTCAGCTTTGCAATCCAAATATTCCTTTTTATCAGATCGCTTAGAGTTGTTCAGTGTCAAGGAAATAAATTCAGTCTAACCAAATTAAGAGGCTGATCTAATAGCCAGAATATCAAGATGTGACTTTCCTTTGAGAATTATATCAGCCAAGCAGATAGGATTGCTACTCTTGGCTCTCAGTATATTATCTCCCTCTAAAAATTCACTCACTCATTCATTCATTCATTCATTCATTAACAAAAATTAAAAACTATATGGAAATTCAAACTATAATCAGAAGGCTCCTGGAGGAAAGGTGTTGTTAGTTGGGTGGAGTTAAGAGCCAACATGACCTTGGCAGTTAGGCATATTTTCCTCTAGATAACGTTGGAGACACAGGGAAGAATTATTGCTCTTTGCCTCCCCACCCCCACTGCCCTTTTCTGGAGTCTGTGCTATCACCTACTGTTCTAGTCTTTCTTCAGGAGTATTAACACTAGAGATTCAGCCACAATTTTCTTTTAAATCTGGTCAAAGCTCACCTAAACTTCCAGGACCCGCTCTTCCTGCTGTTGAGGAACAGCTAAACCACTTCATGGCATGCTCAAAGAAAACTGGTAGGAACAAGAAGTGAAGTATCAGTAATTCTAGTCAAAAGGCAAGAGCTTTAATAATGTTTAATTTACTTCCGGGAAGAAAAGTGATGCAACAACTCTGATTAATTATCTAGGAACCCTATCCCCTCAGCATCCTCAGAACTCCTAGTTCTTTTAAATCTGCTTGTATCCTTTACTGCCAAATTAATCACATTTCACAGAGATATATGGAAGCATGAAAATGACTGTAACAATGTTGTCTGCAGATGGATAATCACCCACTATTCATAATCCTATGTTTAAGTGGAGGATACTATATAATGACCACCCCCCCAGAACTACAATGAAAGACACTTTTACACACAGGAGTCCAGTTGTATAACACAATTGGTGCAGTGCATTCAATTTATGCACTGTTGTGAGCTATGTACAACTACTGCACACAACATTACTTCAATGAAAAATGCAAAAAAAATGCATCCTACTTTCAGTGAGACTTACTTGCAAACTTTTTAACACAGTCTCTAGAGAATATATTTGGAAATATACTAAACACATGCCACAGACTCACAGTAAATAGTACACAGTGTATATAGAACAATATTCTGAATATTTGCAAAACACACATTTTACTTCACCTGAGTAGCAAAAGCCAGTGTAGGCATGCCTAAAATCGCATGTAAGTTAAAGTAAAATATATGTATTCTCTCTGTTCCTTAATAATTTTGTTTCCAATTTAGAATGTATCAGTACTCCCCTTGGGCACATTTTCTCTTTCCCTTTTGCTTACACTTTAATTCTAAGTTTTTCATCACCATTAGAAAATATTAGTTGAGCATCTCTCTGTATAGTAATTTTATTTTGCCACTATACCACTCTACAAAATAACATATTCCAACCACAGCAGCTTTCCTTATCATCTTATATATGATGTTTCTATTTAATTCAATGTAACAAACATTTATTGAAGACCAAATATAGAGAAGATTCCTGATAACAATGTGAAAGATTACATGCCTTCAAAGATTTCACAGCCTTTGAAAGATACACATGTACACATACAAAATCAATCAAGACTAATTATAAATTGTATAACACAGAAAAAGCAAAAAGGTGGGCGCTAATTTCTAACCAAAGAATCAAGAAACGTTTCACAGGAGACTGTAAATTAAGCCTAGAAGTATAAGTTAGATTTTAATTAAAGTTAATACGGTGAAAAGTACATCAGGCTGAGGGAATAGAACAAAGTAAGACATGACAAAAGGAAACTGCTGTAGTACTGGGACATCACGGAGATGAAGTCAGAAGGTAACGGAACCAGAAAATGAAAAACCTTCAATACCATGCAAAGAAATTCACTTCATCCATTTGAATGAAGTGATGATTTGGGATGACTGAGTTAATTTACATTTAGAGAAACATCAGTGGTCATTCAAAAACCAACTATAACATTAATACAACTAAATAAGGCCTATTAGAAATACAGATGTCAAATTATCTGTGATCTATTTTTAAAAGAAACCAATAAACCCTTTTAAATGTGTAAGCTTCAGTTTTTGTTTTAACACTAATGTGGAAAGGAAAACAAGAGAATAATTTTCACTTCGGTTTGTTCCTTATGTGCTAATAATTCCACTGGTCTTCAAATGTTTCTCCAAATTTAGCCAGTGATTCATCCATCTTCACATTGGCAGATTTTCCCCATTTGACCGTATCATTTAGTCTTATGACAGGCAGTCTTTTATTCATATGTTCCTACCCCCACCGCACTCTGTCCCTTTAAGAAGAAGTGAGACAGGCACCTGAAAAGTTCATTTATAATTTTCTTGCCTACAGGTTACACCTGGTTCTACCTGTGCCATCTTTGGCCTAGGAGGCGTTGGTTTTGCTGCTCTAATTGGTTGTAAATTAGCAGGAGCTTCCAGAATCATAGCTATTGACATCAAAAGTGAGAAGTTTGCTAGGGCCAAAGCCCTTGGAGCTACTGATTGCCTCAATCCTGGAGACCTAGATAAGCCCATTCAGGAGGTCATCGTTGAAATCACCAGTGGAGGTGTGGATTTTGCCTTTGAGTGTGTAGGTGGAGCAAAAGTCATGGTACGTATATTTTTATGATAGGGTGTAATAAATATCACTTATTAACATTAATAAACATTAGTGTATGTGTACATTAATATACTTATATTTAATATCAATATATATGTGTACAAATGTTTATATAAGCAATGGTTATTAATACTATATTAGATACTATTATGTTACATAACATATAATTAATTTTGACTTATTAATAAATATTACTAGTTATTACTTAATATTAATGTGTTATTAATGTGTGTTCATTCTTCCACATGAAATTCAGCAAAAAATTTTAGAAAAAACTTAGAAATGAAGACCCATAATATTATGACCTCATTAGCTGGAGTCCCATTATTTTATATGCAGAGTTGTATAAATTTTCCCTAAAGCATTGTACATACCCACACTGGAATTCATGTTCTACTTTTCATTTTTGTTTGACCTTCCAGAGAGCAGCCATGGACAGCATAACAGTAGGTGGGGGATTATGTACAATCATTGGAGTAAACATTGGTGACAAAGGATTGAATATTTCTGCAGTGGAGCTACTAATGGGCCGTACCCTAACTGGAACAAGCTTTGGTGGTCAGTTTATTTTTTCTTTTAATTTTTTCCACAGTAGTACTCAAATTCTTATAATGAAGATTATTGAACACAAAGGAAAATAATTTGTTGTTTAAATATTGAATGCCTAGAACATATCTGTTGATTACATGAAAGCTATTTATTCTACTAGTTAGTTAAAAGTAAATGGAGTTTGTATAGAAGGATAACTATAATTTGCAAACTGAAATTCGATTTGCATTAAAATGGACCAATATAGGGGAACAAAAGGTAAGCTTTGATCAAACTGAGATAATTCCTTATCTAGAAATAAAAAATAATCTTGAATTTTTCTTATAAAAAAACTTTGATAAAAGTACAAAAAATTAAAGATGGTGAGGGGATAATCTATTTGAAGCAACCCAAACTTGACCTAATAATATCATTCATTTGAGAAACACTGATTAAACTACCTCTTCATGTCAAGCACCATGTCTTTATTTGGCATTTTGGCCAATTACAGGTTGGAAAGGTATGAAGTCTGTTCCAAAGCTAGCTGCTGACTACAAGAATAAGAAATTCAATCTGGATGCACTGGTGTCCCATACCCTCCCTTTTGACAAAATCAGTGAGGCATTTGACCTAATGTACCAAGGAAAAAGGTAAATTACCAAACAGATGGGTGAGCAGTTTGAAAAACCTTGATGATGATTCTATTTTCATTGGACGTTAAAAACTAACCAGTTTGTCTTTTCTGACACTCTCCACATCATCAGAAGTACTCAGTGGGCTTAAAAGATTAAATAGTGGCCATTTGGAGAAAAGCCTCCTACTCCATTTCCATAATGTACATGGCCATGAACTATTCTAATAAGAGTGATGGTATAAACTGACACAAATTTTTCATTTTCACAAACAATTAATTGTTAACTCAAGTAGGGCTGCTCCCTAGAGAAAGAGATTTCTACAGTGTAATGCCAGGTTCCCTTAGTACAATATAGCCCTGGGTCTGGAATCATTATGGTCTGCAATTGACACAGAACGCCCACTCCAGGCCCTTCATTATCAGAATCAGGTGATTCTGAAAATATGAGCAGTGAGTGGCAGGTGTCAAAGACTGAAAGTGGCAGGTGTCAACTCTTATTCTCTTGCTTTGTTATGGGAGTCCTATAAGTGCATTCTGATCCACAATTTTAGCTATATTCTGTTCCCTTGTCATAAACCCTAAGAACTGATTTATAGAAATTCCCAATTGGGTGATCCCTAGTAACTGGGGAGGAAGACTAGGATCAATAGTTTTGGTTAAAATAATCAACCAGAGCATTGGTCAATAGAAGGAAGGACAAAATACCAGGAACAGTGTTGCACAGAGAAGATGCAAAAAGGCAGCAAAAAGAAAAGACATCACAAAAGAGACAGGGTAAAAACATATAGTTAAATGACAGGAGTTTGAAACAGGGAATAAATGTTGCAAAAGAAGAAAACAGATCCATGGTGTGAGGACCCAGGATACTTCCTGGGGAAGAAACCTCAGAAAATATCCCTACTGACATGAACTCCCTAACTTGCAAAGGTTTTAGCTGCAATATCAAAAAGAAGTTCAATAAAAAGAAAAGAAATGATCCCTGCTTGGTGTGGTGAGGATGATTTTCTTTGCAATTAAGGAGCAGACTCTTGTTTTCACTCTGAGTACCAGGAGGTTCAAAGGTTCGGAAAGAGATAGCTTAGTAGAAAAGGAATGTGGGCAGGAGAAATTGAATCTCTTGCATCAATTTCTGAAAAAAAGAAATAAAGAATCAATTATGTTACTTTATGTAAATTACATAAAGAAAAAGTATTAGTGGAGGACTACCTGGCTAAAATCAAATCCCTTTTAAATAAAGATTCGTCCTTGGAGAATGGAGCTCATGCTTTCAGTTGGGAAGGGAATGGATGTCTAGAAAACAACAAGTGGTAAAGACCTCTGACTGAGAATAGCAAGTCCCCCAAACCCATTTCCATACTTTGCATGCCCAGAAGAAGCAAGTCTGATGGAGAAAGAGAGTCTCAAGCCTCATCTAGGTCCAGGAATATAAGGCAAGCTACCGGGCAGACCACCATCACATTTCATTTAGCAAAGAAACCTGAGAAAGAACTTGAAAGACCGAAATTGGATGATTCTCTCAATGAAGAAGAAAAAGACCAGGAAGCAAAGAGACATAAAGTCACTTCCAGAGAACCAACTGCTAGACCATTCCCTGCAGAAGAACCAGAAAGAGTAAAACCATAAACATACAAGAAAGAAGAACGAAGAGAAGGAATAGAAGAAAAGAGACTCAGAAGTCAAACCTAAATAGAAGTCTAAGGAGGATGCAAGACCAGGAGTTCAGGTTGAAATGGGTAGAGGAGATGAGAAAGATAAAAAGAGGCACAGAAGACAACCCAAAGATTCTAACTGCCAGAGACCTGAACAAAAAGAATCTGAAAGAGTAAAACCACAAGTTTCTGATTAGAAAGATGAGGATGAAAAGTTTTGGAGACTGCAAGGCCAAGATCAAAGTGACAGCAGGGAGGAGAAGAGATGCAAAACTACATTCAAAGAACCAACTGAGAAAAAAATGGCTCAAACCAAAACAGCTGTGTCCTCCAAGACCCATCCTCTGATGTGCATTCAGTGCAGACAATACCTGGATAACACTGAACTAAAATATGAATAGCATTCCCCTGATGCAATGGATGAAATACAGTTGTTGACAAATGAGAGAATGTCTATCTTCAATGTCAAAGAATCCGGCTTTGAGAGGCTCTTCCTCAACCAAACTGACGTGCTTCAGCATGTACTATAAACACAATCACCAGTGCCTGATCAACACTAGCCTCATTAAGAAGAATGTCCAACTCTTCTGGTTCAGCAAAATCAATACATGATGATGGCCCATCTCTTGAAAGCGATTTAATGGCAAAATTCTTGGTCCCATAAATAAATGGTGGATCACTGATTTTAATAGAAGTGAAAAGGCTCTCATTGGCTTCAGCACCTCATGTGCCAAATATATTCTGATAGATCCCAATGCAGAGTACACACTGATGTCCAGCATGATGCAGGAGATCTACTTAAGACAGTAGAGTTCCTGCAGAACAACCCTGACTCAACCTATAAAGACCTGATCGATAAGATTAAGGCCACTGTTCCTCCTGTGCTCATCCTGAATCAACTCACTGAGGAGTCTCTCCTTTGGCATGCCCAGTTTTTGGTGGGACAAGTAAAGAGCTATGATTAGTCTGGGGCTATTGACAAGTGACCCATCTTCCTGATCTGCCGCATGAGAGACCTGATCAAGTTGGTGGGGATCACCCTGGGAAAGAGGCAAGCTGAAAGACTTCAGACCACTGGGCATTCTGCCAAGAAGAAAGACAAAGGCCTCACAAAAGCCATCATTATCAAGCTGGTCTACCAGATCTTTGACACTTTCTTCACAGAGCAAATTGAAATGGAAACTAAGAATGCCTTTAAATGCTGGCTGTGTGGCATCTGAGAGTTTTGTCAACAGCCCAAATGTAGAAAGTGTGAAGCCTATAAGGATATGGTTAAATTTGGTGGTAGGGAATGGAGCAAACAGGCTTCCTGAGAGAAGTGTTCCATTTTTAATCCATGGCCATGAAGGATGAAGATGATGATGAAGTAGATGACAAAATCCCAGAGAAAAAGTGAATCAGGGGAAGGAAAAGAAACAGAGCAAGAATCTGATATGTTGGGTTAGAGAAGTCATCAAGACTGCTGGGGGAACTATATTCAATATCTCGTAGTAACCTATAGTGAAAAAGAATATGAAAACAAATATATGTATGTATATGTATGACTGAACTATTATGCAGTAACACCAGAAATTGGCACAACATTGTAAACTAACTATAGTTCAATTAAATAAAAATAAAAGAATACTGGGAAGAAGAGTTACTATAAGAAGGTATGCATTGCCTCAGAAACCCTGGAAGTGGGGAACTGTGTCTCTGTTATTCCAAATGATTCCTCAAAACCATCCTCATGGCAGTGCAGGAGGACAGCAGCAAAAGGCAGAGCTTGCATACCCACTGGTTCTGTGCTGGGACAGACAGGGTTCTCCGGGCCACATCAGATCCCCCCTGGAGCAGCTCCTGTTAGATGAACGTGAGGACATGCAGCTTTTCACACACTCACAGCAAAGTTCCATCAGAAAACTGGGCCTTGGAAGGAGGTATGGATTCTGAGACCTTGATAACAGAGGGTAATGGGAAGACTTGTTTCTCCCAGCTGTGACATGAGCAAGACCATGAAAGATTTGAGAACCCCCCAAAACTCAGTCGATGGAGAAAAAGCATAAATTCTGTATAAGCTGCGTATGTCTGGCTGAAATGAGGCAAAAAGAAATTCCCAGCATCATGGAGCAGCTTGAGGACCTTGATGGCCAGGGTCTCTTCAGCTCAGCCACCAAGACTGGCATCCAGTATCGAGCAGGCAACAGCATGCATCTCCTCCCTGAGGACTTCTCATTGGACCAGTACTGTAAAATATCCAAAGAAGGAGCCTGTGGATGAAGATATGTACCCTAAACACTACCAGAACTATTCCAACTACATCTAAGGCATGCCACAACTTGGACGCCCCTGGGCCATACCAAATCGGCCACATAAAAGATCTTCTGAAGCAATAAGAGCGCCCAACACAACACACAGCAAGATCAGACAACAGGTTCTACAAGTCGGCAAAGGCCTCTGTTCTTGCAGGAGGCAGCACTCCTACAGGGGGCTGTGCCTGAAAAGAGGGTTGTAACATAGCACACATAGTGTTTTAAGAGTTACATAGAGGTGGCTGTTTTTCCAAGTGTTTCTGATTATTTGGTGCGTACTGACATTGACTATATTTCATAGCCTTTGCTCTTAGGCCTCTATTTTAAAGTTGCAGAGCTCTTTCTACAAAACAAATCCATAAGCAGAAGTCCAGGGTGTGACAAAAGCAGGGGTGGAATGTTGTGGGCTCTGCCTGAGGCACCCCCAAGAGAACATCAAGTTCTATTTATGACAGTCTGCGATCTGCTCCTTCCCATGAGTCCGTCCCTACTCTCAGTCCTCCTGCTGTTCCCAGGCCCCTCCTCCTTTTTCTAGAGTTTCTCTCTGTCCACACTTTCCCCAAGGTCTTGGCTTCACTCAGTCTTTTTTGGTGATCCTAATAGGTTTAATCCTAACCTAAAACTAATCCATACAGATAGATACAAAGTTGCTTTACTTCTTAGCTACTATACATCAAAGATTTTCTGAAGAAAAAAGAAAAGAAAAAATACACATTATTTTTAAAGCTACACAAAGTAACTTAGGGCATAAGCCCCGCAGTATCTTGCAAAATCTCAATATCCCATAAGACTATTCCTCAAGTTAAGATTTATGTTGGGGTTTGGGGCCTTAGATCCTGGTACTCATAGCTCCTCCACCACTAACCTTTTTCCCCTAGAGTTCTCCCTCATGGAATATACCCATAAGGACTGCCATGTGGTAGCCAAATGAAAAATGTTGCACTACCTTATTAATAGGTGGGCAAGCCTCCCATACTATCCCAAATAGGCCAGGTAATCAGCAGTAGAATGGAGGTTGAGGGGTAGACACCTGAATGAGGCTTCCTACTTCCCCCTGGCCCACTGAGAAGACCACCTGACTGCCCACACAGCTGGACAGGTGGCAACAGAGAAGGCAGAGGATGGGCCTTCCCAGGGATACTGACCATACAGGAAGCACAACTGAGGACTTATCCTCCTGCCACACCAACTGCATAAAAGCAAGGAAGTGGAAGGAGCACAACACCCAGCTGGCCTATTAAGGGGCAGTGACCCTGACTCATGTCATAGGTAGGTATAGCTCCAGGTCCTGCAGGAAGAAAACAGTTATGCACAACAACCTGCTGATGCCAGGGGTTCCCCAGCTCCAGCAGTAAGATCCGAGATAAGAAATTCTCTGTCCTTGAGGCTTATCCCCCTCTTTGCTTCTACATGTTAAAGGAGTGATCCAGGAGCAGAAATTTTTGAGTTCTCTGAAAGTAGCATCCCAACACACCAACCACTCCCTCTTTTGATGCCAATTTGCCCTAAGCTACAGGAGAGCCAAGAGCAGTGACTGTTTCAGGTCAAAAATCTCACTACACCGGCGGCAGGCTCTACTTCTCTATAGCACCACTGGGCAACAAGGACCTTGACCGGAGTCAAGTGTGGGTTCCCAATTTTCGCCCAGCTTACTAACACCATGTGTAAAGTACTATTAATGTCATGGATGGATGACAAGATAAAGAAACTAGACAACTAGACTTAGCAAAGTGAAATATCTATAAAGAAACATTAAAACAAAAAAAATAAAAATTATTTGTGGATTTTGGCTAAATTTATCATGAAAATTATACTGATTATTGTTTTATTATTATTAACAGCATTCGGACAATCCTGCTCTTTTGATGACACCAGGAACAATCTGGAATACTAGATGACTGAATCTGAAACTGTCTGGTTAATTCATAACCTGATGGACCATTAATCACCATGAATTTAAACAGATGTTTACAGTTAACATCTCAATTTAAACAGCTATAATGATTATAGCATTTGTATCCATAAAATATGTTAATATTCCCTATGTTAAATAACTATGATGATTGATATGTTTATGAATAGAATCATATGATGTTTGGAAATTGTTTAAAACCAGTTCTGAAGAAGTGAGAGTGGAGAATAAAGGGGTCATAAATAAAACTAGATTGGCTATATGTTTATAGTTTTTTAAGTTGGGTGATAAATATATGGGATTTCATTATACTGCTCTCTCTACTATTGTATATGTTTAAAATTTTTCCATAATAAAAAGCTTTTTACCAGAAAAAAATCACTATTAATATGTAGCATGTAACAAAATACATATATCTTTAAAATATATATCATATATAACACAAGTTACAATAATTTACAAGACACTCTTCTTCAATAAGCTGCTAAATAATTTCCTTTTTAATATTTGTTAATTTCTCTTAGCCCCACCTTACCACTGTGAACTATAATTACAAGTAGTGATCTATCAGAAACTATATAAATGAATACATACAGAGATTATTTTAAAAGAAAATACATCTATACTTTCAAATTTCCATCATTATTAAATAATTCCCCTTTTCATCTTTGATAATACCACAATATATAATCTTTAGAGCATCACAGAGTTAACCATCTATAATCTGCACTAAGTAATCTATTTTCTATAGACAACTAGAAGTGACAAAGGACAATGTTCTTATAATCAATGTAGTAAGTAAAAATATTTATAGTTATAAGATATAATAAATAAAAAGATGTATATAAAAAGCAAATTGCAAATTTTCAAACTATTATACTTATAGATGCTACAATGGACAGTTTAAGAATAAGATAGATAATTCAGACTAGAGTAACAAAAACTAGCTCTCAATTTAGCATAACTTCTGAAACCTACCAATTTCTTTATTTTTTTCATGTTTACCACACATTGAATTCTGAGAGAAGATAAACTTCTCTGAAGTTTTGGCTGAGGAAGGTAGTAATACCTCAAAGTGGAAACATATTCCTGCTTATTTAAGATTCTCTTTCATTAGAAATGGAGGCCAGAGAATTCACCTGTAAAGACTTCCTGTTGGTACTGTGGGGAACAGGATGCACCCCACAGGTGGTTGGCCTCTCTCTTCCTATTTCATGTATCAGTTATGTCCTTTTTCCTCGTGCCTTCCCCTCCTCTCCTCGGCTTCCTCCATTCTTCCCAGGTCCAGATTGGGACCCAACTCCTTTTCAGATCTTGGCAGCCACAAAGCTATCTTCCTCTCCTGATCTCCTTTGGGTCTTAGTGTCTTTATTGAAATCTTAAGACATGTTGCTTCCACTGTTAGTTTTTCAAGTATATGTTTGTAAACTCCTTGAAGGCAGAATGATCTTTGAATCTATTGTTCTGTCTATTAGAGAGGCTCAATAGATACATGTTGTCTGATACCAAAGTTTATCCTCACAAGTGTCCAAATAATTTATACTAGCCCTTTTAAATGAAACTTTTCCAAAACATTTTCTATGCTCCTCTTTTTTCCTAAATAGAGAATCACAAATCTAATCTTAATAATTCAGGAGAATCATTATGAGCACTATTTTTATTAATAAGGTTAAATTAATAAAAATTAATAACTAAGTTAATAATAAATGATTAACTAAGTTGTGATACAGTAGTTCTCTCTCTCTCCAATCACTCCTGCAGTTAGCATCCCTGCCTCTATCAGTCTTTTATTTTTCCACGTCTGGTTAGGTGATTTGAAAAATAAAAAAACTCATTATTCTTAACAAGGCTGCTAGGGTTATTTACAAAATCAGTGAAAACCCGCAGTGATGTGTATGGGGTTTACCATTCCTTTCACAGCAGAGACCTTTTTTCTCATCCAGGCCCCCAGTTGAAACTCCTCATAAACGTAATTATAATATAATTCTTCAAAATGAACACCTAATGTCTTAGTTACCCAAACATCTCTCTCTCTCTTAAAATAAGATATGAATATTAAGTATTTATATGATACTACAGAAACAACAAAAATCATGTAACAATAATTCATTTGGCAACATGCAGAAAACTTCACTTAAAAACTGCACTTTAGAGACGTAAAAATAATCTGCAGACTACTGACAATTGTCTGCTTTTCCTGAGGGCTCTAGTATTTGTTCTTTATCTTTTAAATGTTACTTTTTGAACTACTAGGGACAACACAAATTATAGTATTCTCAGGGCGTCAAGCCACTGAAACAGAACTGGAATAGAACTTGATCCCTTCAAAAGAAAAAGCAAAACAAACCAAAAAAAAAAAAAATTTAAAGGTTTGAATTCTCTAATATATTAAGATACACAGGTCTATTCTTTAAATGACATTTTGGACTGAAACTATTACAAGTTTTTAAGAATGCTGGTTAGTAGGTGACTAATACCTGAATTTAGAAGGCGGGAAGAGGGTATAGCTCAGTGGTAGAGGAGCGCTTAACATGCACAAGGTCCTGGGTTCAATCCCCAGGACCTCCGTCAAAACAAATAAATAAATAAACCTAACTACCTCCTTCCACCCAAGAAAAAAATTAAATAGTAATTCTGTAATTCAATAATTCTGTAATCCAATTCTGAATTTAGAAGGCAATACAATCACAGTGTATTCTTGAGAGAAGAAAAAAAATGCATTTTTAGGGTACATTAACTGTCTTCAAACATGGACTGTCATTGTTTTCTAAATGCTACTACAATGCCCTCTGGTGTTTGGTTTTTGGTTTTGTTTTTTTTTTTTAACATTTTCCCATCTATTTTCTTTGAGAAATTCAGAGAGAGAATAACAACTTTCATTTATATCACAGTTGACATTTTTTTAAGTATTTTCATGTACATTATTTCATCTGATTCTTCAGCATTTTCAGTGGACTATAGCTTCTTGAGGGCAAAGCCATTTTTCACATTCTTTAAGCGCTTCGCAGATGGCAGGCCAATTGTTTCCTTATGGTTAAAGCTAAGGTCTGCGTCCCCAGTTCTGCTCTCTGGAGCATCACAAAGTTCAGTCCATCTGCTATGTGAAGACAGCTGACACCCCCTCTTCTCCCCTACCACCGTGTACTCTCTATTCCTAATTAAATATCTCTAAGTATTCTTGAACTCTATATTCCATATGCAGTCTGAATAATATACCTATTCTGAATGATATATCAGTAAATGCAGGCTAAATTTTTAGTATTCTTTAGTCAATCATCTCCATTATTGACAAATATTGAGCTGTATAAAATCCCTAAATACTTCCTCTCTGGAATGCGATTAAACCAGAATGCTCTTAGTCTACCACTTGAACACAAGGATAGACCATTTGTCTTCTCTGAAGTTTCAAGATCTTTTTAGAAAGAAATTATAAGTAAGTGAGGCATTTAATAATAAAGAAAAAAACTATATCCTCCTATTTTATTATTATTAAATAACATTTTTTTCCTTTTCTCCATTTCTGTCAATAAAATTCTGTTCTATAGGCCTGATTTTTTCTTTTTAAGTGAAGTATAGTCAGTTATCATGTGTCAATTTCTGGGCGTACAGCACAATGTTCCAGTCATGCATATATATACACATATATTCATTTTCATATTCTTTTTCATTAAAGGTTATTATAAGCTATTGAATATAGTTCCCTGTGTTATACAAAAAATTGGGGGGTTTTTAATCTATTTTTATATATAGTGGCTAACATTTGCAAATCTCAAACTCCCAAATTTATCCCTTCCCATTCCCTTCCCCCAGTAACCGTAAGATTGCTTACTATGTCCATGAGTCTGTTTCTGTTTTGTAGATGAGTTCATTCGTGTCCTCTTTTTTCTTTTTTTTTAGATTCTACATATAAGTGACATCATATGGTATTTTTCTTTCTCTTTCTGGCTTACTTCACTTAGAATGACAATCTCTGGGTCCATCCATGTTGCTGCAAATGGCATTATTTTATACTTTTTATGGCTGAGTAGTATTCCATTATATAAATATACCACAACTTCTTTATCCAGTCATCTGTCAATGGACACTTGTTTCCATGTCTTGGCTATTTCATATAGTGCTGCTATGAACATTGGGGTGCATGTATCTTTTTGAATTAGAGTTCCCTCTGGATATATGCCCAGGAGTGGGATTGCTGGATCATATGGTATCTATTTTTAGTTTTTTGAGGAATCTCCATACTGTTTTCCATAATGCCTGCACCAAACTACATTCCCACTAACAGTGTAGAAGGGTTCCATTTTCTCCACACCCTCTCTAGCATCTATCATTTGTGGACTTTTTTAATGATTCTATAGGCCCGCTTATAATACAGCTAATAAAATTTAAGAAATAAAAGTCTTCATAATTAACCAAAGGATTCTGAGAAAGAATCCTTTGTAGCCTTGAAAAGAGAAATTCTGCATCATAAGCTACTTTTAAAAACCTGACTTGATAAGGTATTAAATTAAGAACCTTCCCAAGAATATCATTTTGCTCTCCATAGCAATATAGAGATGTGTGAACACTCAAAACTGTTACTAGAACGTCTTCTGGTTTTCGTTAAAAAGAAATTCATTCTCTGTTACTACAAATGTTATTTAAACCAAAAGCTCTTGTAAAACTCCAAAGACAGTGTTGCCTGCTAAACAGCATCCCCAGGATGGGTCACTTTGTTCACCTGATTATTGACAATCCCTCCCCAAGTCAGACATTTTGGTAAGAATCACATGAAATACACATTTTCCTCACACTCAGTGCCTGCTATGAAATGTCCATCCACATTATCTCTTTTCCAGATTTCCTTATTACTAATCTTACAACCTCATTCCTTCAAAGTCCCTGATCATCTGACCAAATATTAATTACTGCCTATTAATCAATGTAGATTTATATCTCAGACAATTTCATTCTGCTCAAAGAGAACTCACAGTGATATAATGCTTGCAGTTCTGTACCCTGGCAAGATTCCCTGAGTCTGCCTCTACCAACTGCCAGAATATTGTGCAGACTATATAATAACCATGCTGAAATTCTCTTCCTCCTCTATAAACTGATCATAGGGAATCTCCCTGAGGGATGGAAATGCAGTAGGAGTGTGTG